CGTGTGGGAACGAAGCAACATAGGGTGAGAACGCTGAACAGGAGAGGCAGTATGAGCACGAGAGGGACGGCGTGACCAGATGTGAGAAGGAGGCGTCAGGTCAGGGGACAGAGGAGGAGACACATGAGGGGAACAAGGGGGAATACGCGCCAGAGACGAGTCTGGCGAAGGATACACGGGGCCGTAGACAAGAAGAGGTGGAGGCGGCGGGGGAGGCGTAGGCGAGCGGTCAGGGGAGGGAAGGCCGAGCAGGCGAAGGGCGGACATCGGCGGTGACTGCTGCTGCTGCTCGACGCCGACACCTGAACCGCCAATTGCTCCACGACTACCTCCGGAACACTCCACTCCAGCACCCCCAAAACGGGCACCCCCAGAGCGAGAACGCTCTCCAGCACCGGTGCCACCCCTAGGCCTGCCAGGACAAGCAACGTCAGGAACCCCATGACTAGCACCCTCCTCAACGCCAGCACCCTCAGAGTCCACGAACGGCTCCTGCCGCCGCTGCGGCTGCTGCGGCTATGGCGGTGGCGACGGCTGCGGCTGCTGCTTCGGCGGAGACTGCGGGGACTGCTGCGACGGCGGAGGAGGTAACACAGGGGGGGAGGCCGGCGGCGAGAACGGTACCGCGGGGCAACCAGAGTCAGCCGACTCCTTGACCGGGACAACTGACGGGAGGGGAGTAACGTAAGACACACCAGACGGAGGAGGGCGGAGAGGGAGGGGAACAGGGGCTACCGGGGGAGTGGGAACCAGAAACAGGGGCGGGGAGACCGGGAGACATCGGTGGGGAAAGCGGTGGTAGAAGGAGACAGAGTCGTCGAAAGTGGCGTCACAGGAGTGAAAGAAGCGGTGAGACGGCGGGTGGTAGAAGTGCCAGTCGGACGAGTCAAGGGGGAAATCGAGGAAGGCACAGGGGACAGTGCGGGCAGTAAGCTTGTTCATGCAAGAGGCACAAACGGGAACAAGGCAGCCCCAGACGTGGAACATGGACTCGTCACCAGGGAACCCAGTCCAAAGAAGGGTCGGCGAAACCTGTGGCCGCAGGGAGCGCAGCCACAAGTTAATCTGGTGAGCGGCGTAGCGAACGTCTAACTACCACAAAAAATAGGGTGCACCGGCATGAATTAAGGAGGTGCGAGCCACCTCCATGACCAAGCCAATGCGGCACTCAGCGACCCCATTCTGCTGCGGGGATTCCGGTAGAGTGTACAACTGGGTGATGCCCTCCGCACGACAGAACTGACCAAGCAGACCAGAGGCGAACTCGCCGCCACGGTCGGAGTGGAGCCACAGGACAGGGAGACCACGGTAGAGGAGCGCAGCTATGACCCACGGGATAAGAACGCCAGGCACGTCAGTCTTCTGCTCCAAGGGAAACACCGTGGTGTAGCGCGTGAAGTCGTCGACAAGCACGAGAAATTAGCGCTCGCGACGCGGTCCAGGGACGGGGGCTGGGCCCCAAACATCCAGGTGCAGGGTTTGGAGGGGTGCGGTGGGAGGGCAAAGCTAGGAGGAGTGAGGAGCACGGCGCAGCCGGCCCTCGACGCAGGGCATGCACGGTGGCGTAGGCGAGGGAGGGAGGGTAGGAAGCGACGCAGGGAGACCGAGGACTAGACCGTGCTGAGACATGTGACGCAGGCGGGGGGTGTGCGGGGTGACCTATGCGGCGGTGCCATAGAAGCGACGGGTGAATGAGCGACCGACACGAGCAGGCCGCAGCGACCTGGGTAGACGTAGGACCCGGGGAGGACGCGCCCACCGGGGGCGTAGCAGTGTCCAGCGTAAAGAGGCCAGACACTGGGTCCCGGGGGTATGTCGCAAGGGGGGCACCTGAGGCGACCTCGGTACAGACAGTGTACCACTCGTGACCAGGGTACGTAGTGGTGACGCCGAGGTCCTGAAGACAGCCGACACCAACTAAGTTCCTGGAGAACGAGGGGATATGCAGGCCTGTAAGGGAACCCGAGGGGGCCGTTGGACTGCGAAGAGTAGTGGAGCTGTGAGCAACGATAGGACAAGAAAAGGGGTCAGCAAGGGCTACAGAGGCAGAGGCAGCGAGCGGCGTGAGAGGGGCGTGGCCACCGAAGAAGCAGGCAGATGCACCAAAGTTGAGCGTGAAGGAGCAAAGTAGTAGGCGCAGACGAAGGAGGAGCAATGGTAGAGCCTAGGCTAGACAAAGCAAACGGTCCTACGCTTGACGCAGCAGGGGAGTCTGTACTACACACAGGTGCTACGCCTAAGCTAGAGAACACAGGGTAATAAGATCCAGACACACTAGAAGCAACAGCATACAGAGAATGCAGGGCAGAACTAATCTGATCCATGTCTAATTCAAACATAGGCAGACCGTGACGGAGCAGACTTGGCCAATCGGGAGGTCCGGGGCCGGGCCGAAGCGGTGACGGATGAGGTTGTCGAGGCGGCGGAAGCAGCGGGCGGTCGGGTGCGGGCGGCGGCACACAGTGCCACGAAGGAGCCCGGTCTGAAGCTGGTACTGGCAGCCCACAGCACCGAAGCCGCCGGTAGACACCGAGCTCCGGGGGCCGCCACCGCGGCCACCACCTCATGGGGCTCCTGGCAAGCCCGGCGGGAGGTGGGCCCACGACTGCTACTGCTGCGGCTACTTCTGCTGCTGCTGTTGCGGCTGCTGCTGTTGCTGCTACGGCTTTTGCTGCGTCTACTACTGCTCGTGGACACCAGCCCCAACCCCCTCGTCCGAACCACTGTCCCCGCCACCACCACGACCACCACCAGCGCCACCACAACGCCCCCCCTTGGGGCCGCGGTGGTCCCTACGCTGTCGCTGCTGCGGGAAGGCCGCAGCAGCGGTCTCAGTGGCCAAGGTAGCCATAGCAACCGCGGCGGAAACGTCAGCGTACGTACACTGGGAGGGAGCACAGCCCTGAAAGATAGGGACTGCCGCAATGCCGCTCGACTGAGCGATAGTGCGCTGGCGAGTCTCTATCTCAGACAGGGCAGTGACAAAGGCAGTCTGGGTGAGGTCGCCTGGGTGCTGGCTAAGGAATTGGTCTCGGGCAGTGGCTATGCGGTTAGGCAGGCGTATGGCAATAAGGTACATGGTAGCACAGAACGGTGGGGGGAAAGCAGTGAGCTGGGCAGCAGTGCTAGCAGCGCGATAACTAGTCTCTAGTGCACAGAGGTGAGTGGCGAGATCAGCGACAGTAGGGAAAGCAAAGAGATCAGGGAAGAGCATGGGGAGGATCAAGCGGCCAGCTGAGGCGGAGGCAGGCATGGAGTTGCGTGCAACTACTGCATCTAGGAAGTCTTTGGCGTTTGCTACAGCAGTGAAGCGGGGACGCTCACATAGGGGAAGCGCATGACTAATGGCGAGCTGTGCTACGTCATCGCAAGAATCCCAGACAGCGCGAGCGAGCGCAGCAACAGCAAAAGATTCACTCTCAGCAGTGGTGGGATCAGCAGGGAGGGGAGCAGGCGCGGGGGGGCGGGGGAGCAAGCCATCAACATGCATAGCCAGGGACACAGCGGCACAAGGACACGGATACTTAGCTGCACGGCGGTGCAGCGGCGTGGCGGTAGGACTCTCCGGAACGGAGACCGTGCAGGTGCCGGCCATGCGCGCGAGAGGCCGGGCAGGTGTGGGAGGGGCCGGCGCGTAGAGAGGAGCCGGCAAGGCACGTGGGGCCGGCAGTGCGCAGGAGGGGGCGGCTAGGCGGTAGGGGCCGGCGAGGCGGTAGGGGCCGGCTAGACAGTGGGGGGGGCGGCTAGGCGGTAAGGGGCCAGCTAGGCGAGAGGGGCCGGCTAGGCGAGAGAGGGGCCGGCTAGGCGAGAGGGGCCGGCTAAGCGCAAGGGGCCGGCTCGGCACAAGGGGCCGGCTACGGCGAGAGGGGTGGGGGCGGCTAGGCGCGAGGGGCCAGCTAGGTGCGAGGGGGGTGGCTAGACGTGAGGGGCCGGCTACGACGTGAGAGGGCCGGCTGGGCGTGAAGGGGTCGGCTAGGCGCGAGGGGCCAGCTACGGCGCGAGGGGCCGGCTACAGCGCGAGAGGGGCTGGCTAGACACGAGGGGCCGGCTTCAACGTGAGAGGGGTCAGCTGGGCGCGAAGGGGCCGGCTAGGCGCGAGGGGCCGTCTACGGCGCGAGGGGCCGGCTACGGCGTGAGGGGCCGGCTACGGCAAGAGAGGGGCCGGCTACGGCGAGAGAGGGGCCGGCTGGGCGCGAGGGGCCGGCTAGGCGCGAGGGGCCGGCTATGACGCGAGGGGACGGCGGGCACACTAGGGGCCGGCAGACGCGCTAGGGGCCGGCGAGGCACGGTAGGCTAGGGCGCGGGGCGGAAATGGGTGGGTGGACCTGACCTACTCATGATACCATGTTAGAATACTAGAATGAATTAGCAAGAAGGGAGAACAAGGGAGATATAGGGTTTGGGTTGTACTCTCTAAGAACACACACCTATGTTAAGCTAGGAATTAAGGTGCCATGAAATGGCGTCGGGTTTTAGGGGGTCGAGAGCTAGGAGGAGAAGTTGACGAGAGAAAAGCGAACTAGAAAAGAAGAGAGAGAGAGAGAGAGAGAGAGAGAGAGAGAGAGAGAGAGAGAGAGAGAGAGAGAGAGAGAGAGAGAGAGAGAGAGAGAGAGAGAGAGAGAGAGAGAGAGAGAGAGAGAGAGAGAGAGAGAGAGAGAGAGAGAGAGAGAGAGAGAGAGAGAGAGAGATACGAGGGGGGGTGTTGTACCCTCTAGAGTAATGTTCAGTAACGTCTACCAAGCCTACTATTATGTACTAACATATATAATTTAACAACCTATTCTAGCCTATAACTTCTACGTGCAAATGTATGTATAAGTTGACAGCAGTGTCCAAGCGACTTAGCATCTTGGTGGGATGGTGGGTTGTTTTGCTTGAGTGGGACCACCTGTGTCGCATGGCTGTCGTTCGGCCATGCGCCTATTTGCGCCAGCTTAGTTTTCCCCTCTGGATTTGGGTGCAGCGAGGGTCTTCCACTCTGCAGGTTCAAAATCCTTTGGAGGTAGAACTTTTTGTACTTTCACTGTAACTTCAATACCAGATTCAAAACCACCTCCACCTCAATTCCCTCGAGATATACACACAACGGTACTGAAGTGGGACAACTAGAAACTGCCTAACACCCTAACAACTGACAGCCTAATAAAAAAGCACTGAGGGCCACTAGTAGTCCCTAGAGTATAGCTCAACACTTGTGTGACAGGCCCATTTTCAATCACAGGGGGCGGAGACGAGGGAAGTCTGAAAGCAAGTCACGCTCTGTGAGAGTATCTTCATCATCTTGAGGCGTCCAAAGCACCTCCACAGCCTGGGACAAACACAAGGTTTGAGATGGAGAAAAGAGAGGAAGGAGGGAGGGTGAAAGATGAGTTAAAGCGCAGGCCTCGCTCCGTGAGAGTGTCCTCCTCGTTCTGGGTTGTTAACGCACCTCCACAGCCTAGCAGGGGGGAGGGCGTGAGAAGAGAAAACGGGGGGAGGGAGCAAGACAAGAACAGGTGGAGGCGAGGGCAATCATGGAGCAAGTCTTGAGTGTCCTTGTCGTCCTGATGAGGTGGGGTTGGAGGAAGTCTGGAAAAAGCGACCGAATTGACCTGGTTTTGAAAGAGCATTCAAACACTTACAGACAAAAGTGGGAGACAAGAGAGAGGGTGAGCGAAAAGGGAGAGTGCGAGGATGAGGGAGAGTGAGATAGTGAGGGAGAAGGGAGAGTGAGGACAAGGGAGGGGGAGAGTGTGTGTGTGAGGGAGAAGGGAGAGAGTGAGGACGAGGGAGGGGGAGAGTGTGCATGGGAGGGAGAAGGGAGAGAGTGAGGACGAGGGAGGGGGAGAGAGTGCATGGGAGGGAGGAGGGAGAGAGTGCATGGGAGGGAGGAGGGAGAGAGTGCATGGGAGGGAGAAGGGAGAGAGAGCATGGGAGGGAGAAGGGAGAGAGAGCATGGGAGGGAGAAGGGAGAGAGTGCATGGGAGGGAGAAGGGAGAGAGTGCATGGGAGGGAGAAGGGAGAGAGTGCATGGGAGGGAGAAGGGAGAGAGTGCATGGGAGGGAGAAGGGCGAGAGTGCATGGGAGGGAGAAGGGCGAGAGTGCATGGGAGGGAGAAGGGCGAGAGTGCATGGGAGGGAGAAGGGCGAGAGTGCATGGGAGGGAGAAGGGGGAGAGTGCATGGGAGGGAGAAGGGAGAGAGTGCATGGGAGGGAGAAGGGAGAGAGTGCATGGGAGGGAGAAGGGAGAGAGTGCATGGGAGGGAGAAGGGAGAGAGTGCATGGGAGGGAGAAGGGAGAGAGTGCATGGGAGGGAGAAGGGAGAGAGTGCATGGGAGGGAGAAGGGAGAGAGTGCATGGGAGGGAGAAGGGAGAGAGTGCATGGGAGGGAGAAGGGAGAGAGTGCATGGGAGGGAGAAGGGAGAGAGTGCATGGGAGGGAGAAGGGAGAGAGTGCATGGGAGGGAGAAGGGAGAGAGTGCATGGGAGGGAGAAGGGAGAGAGTGCATGGGAGGGAGAAGGGAGAGAGTGCATGGGAGGGAGAAGGGAGAGAGTGCATGGGAGGGAGAAGGGAGAGAGTGCATGGGAGGGAGAAGGGAGAGAGTGCATGGGAGGGAGAAGGGAGAGAGTGCATGGGAGGGAGAAGGGAGAGAGTGCATGGGAGGGAGAAGGGAGAGAGTGCATGGGAGGGAGAAGGGAGAGAGTGCATGGGAGGGAGGCAATGAAGGCAGCTGGAGCAGATGCTCCCACCTGAAGCTCTTAGAAAAAACATCTGAAGCTCTTCAAAACACACCTGGAGCTCTTAGAAAAAGCATCTGCAGCTCTTCAAAACACACCTGGAGCTCTTAGAAAAAGCATCTGCAGCTCGTCAGAACACACCTGGAGCTCACTAAAACGCACCTGAAGCTCGTCAGCGGGAACAGAGCCGAGCCGAGTGAGGGCTTCCCTCAGGTCGCTGGCAGATTTGATTTCAGGCAGGCGAAATGTGCCCTCTGCTGCTGCCAGCACCGTCACCTGCGATAGTTAGCACAAAAGTGGGGAGGAGTGTCATTCTTGAGCAACCTGTCAGAATTGGTCCATTGCACGATGTGCTCTGAACACACCGTGGTCCATGCCACGTTGAACACACCATGGTCCATGCCACGTTGAACACACCAACATGTGCACCCAACCTACCACAATGTATTCGGAGTTCATGCGGTTCTGGCTGGGGTTGCGCACGACTCTCCGCCTCATGCCATCCACATTGACAAGAGTCTCCTCCTTGAACTTGCTCCGCTCCTCCATGCTCATGCGGTTGAACGCCGCCTCGCCCGCGTACGAATCGTTATTCACCTCAGACTGTATGAGTGGGAGATGCAGAGATAGGGAGATGCAGAGATAGGGAGAGGGGGGATGAGGCGTGGACAAGCGTTTCCTCCTTGAGCTTGCTCCGCTCCTCCATGCTCATGCGGTTGAAGGCCGCCTCTCCAGCATACAAGTCGTTGTTCACCTCAGACTGTTTGAGTGGGAGATGCAGAGATAGGGAGAGGGTGAATGAGGCATGAACAAGAGTCTCCTCCTTGAACTTGCTCCGCTCCTCCATGCTCATGCGGCTGAACGCTGCTTCCCCCGCATACGAGTCATTGTTCACCTCTGACTGTACGGTTGGGGATAGGGAGAGGGAGCGGATAAGGAGCAAGAGTCTCTCTTCTGTATACAAGCTCCTCGTTTCCCTACTCGTCCTGTTCACCGCTGTTTCCCTACTCGTCCTGTTCTTAGCTGTTTCCCCTGCGTACAGCTAGCGGGCCGGGAGAAGCAGTGGGTCCACGAGAAGTCTGCTTTAAGGCGCCTTGGAAAAGGTGGTGAGGGAGGAACGCAGGAGGTGACTCTTTAGTCGACTCAAAGAGTCACTTGGGTGGTGAGGGAGCAGGCAGGAGAAGGGACGCGAGAGGAGAAGGGTTGGGGGGGAAAGCGGTGGGGGGTGGGGATTAGGAGAGGAAAAGGGGGGGGGGGGGGGGGGGGGGGGGGGGGGGGGGGGGGGGGGGGGGGGGGGGGGGAAGAGGGGGGGACAGTATCTCTAGGACAGCAGGACGTCCCAAATGGATCGAGCATGCCGATCGTGCGTAAAACGGAGCATCGGATGGACCATGATCCAAGTGACCAAGCAAGTTGTTCAGTGGGAGATAATTAGGTGATTTTTTATTTCTATTTTGAAGGGGAACAACAGGGAGAATGGGGGGAGAGATACGGCGGACATGAAAACACATACGCAGAACCCAGATGTGCGTTCGCTTGCAAGTTCCCCCAATTACTCCCCCCCACCCCCAAACCAGCTGAAGCACTTACGGAGGAGAAGCCATATATGCAGTAGTCAGGGTTGCGCAGCAGGGCAAGCACGGTTTCTGTAGGAGGGGCGCAGCATCCGGTAGGGAGAGAACATTCAGTAAAATGAGTAAAGACAAACGGTTTGGGTGCATCACGCGAGAAGAAAACCCTTCGTGAAAAACTAGGAAATCCCAGAGGATACGAAGCAGAAAAATGCAAACCATGTTTTTAAAAAGAATGGACGCACGTAACCTACCTTGCAGGATGTAGTGTGGGCCCTCGGGAGTGCTCGTGCCCGCACGAGCCGTATAGCCGTTTAGCCGTCTAGCCGTCTAGCCGTCTGGCCATCTAGCCGTTTAGCCGCCAGGCCGTCTGGCCGTCTGGCCGTCTGGCCGCCTGGCCGCCTGACCGTAAAAAAATCTCAAGAAACGAAATGCAATAACCTACCTTGAAGTATGTAATGGAGGCCCTCCGGCGTGCTCGCATCCGCACGGTCCGCAATCCGGTCCAGATCCCTTTGCAGCCGCCTCGCCGTGCCCAGCAGCCCGACCTGCAGCCGCACCACGCTGCTGCGCTGCGTCTCCTGCCACACGTCCTCCTCCGCCGACTGGCTCAGAAACCCCATCACGGACTGCGACACGAACCAGATCGCGATCCCAATGAGCAGGAGATTAAAGATCCCGCCGCCGCCGCCGCCGCCGCCGAAGGCCACGGAGGGGCCGAAGAAGAAGAAGGGGGATGGCGCGAAGAAGGGGACCACCGGGGGGGCGGCGTAGGAGGAATAGCCCCCGCGGGGCACGGACGACGGCGGCGGGGCGTACGAGCGCATGCGGGAGGCGGAGAAGCCGCCTCCGCCGATCCGCCCGCCGCCCTGCGCGGCGAGGGCGGCGTCCGGGACGCCGGCGGCGAGGACGGCGGAGATTAGGAGGGCTGCGAGCGCCGGCTTTAACGCGGCTTTGAAGGCGTCGAGAAGAGCGGTGGTTGCGTCGGTTAACGAGGACGGGAGGCTGGGGAACAGCGACGAAGACGGGACTGAGTCGTGACGAATGGACGAAGGGGAAACTTCAGTTTCTTCGGACTCTGACGACGGAAGCTTCGCCGAAGCGTTGACAGAGACGCGGCGCGTTTGACGAGCAGCGGATTTGGCTAAGGAGAGCTTGCGCGGCACAGGAACGGCTGAGGCGAGGGAGGCATATGGGTTGTTGGAACCGAGCCGAGGTGAGACGCGCAGACCGCTGCAGGACAATGCGCTCCCTTGCACGGCGACGGCGGAAGCCATGGCCGTCGATTAGAATGAGCGGATTCTGGCGAGCCGGGAAAGCGGCAGCTGCCGCAGGCTTCGTCTGGGGATGCGGCTTTTGTGAAAGAAACCGCTCGAATGGCTTGTCCGAACAGACAGCGGGGACCAAAGCCGCCCTGCGAGCGACGGGTTCCGGCAAGAACGGCGTTGTGAAAATAACAAGTGGACCAGAGAAACCACCTCTGATGGAGGTGGTGAGAGAAGGTGAGAGCGGCGATGAGTGGGAGGAGAGGAGAGCATGTCACTGATATTTTCTCATCCCGAGAAGGCGCGTAGTGTACAGTACGACGATATTGATGGCCCTGCTGATCGATACAATACAGTGCAATAAGCTTTGGCACTTGATTCAAACGGAGTGTACCCCAATTAGAGTAGACATGCGGTTATGAGAAGGGAGTGTGGATTTCCGAGGGATCTTTGCGGAATTTATGCACGTGCCTTCCTGGGAGGGGTGTGGTGTGAGCGCATCATCCACGTGGGTGATGACGTGACTCTCGCTGGAACTTCTGCCACGTCGATTACGTCGTACGCAAGCAATCCAGCTGCCGTGTGGCAGCGGATCAACCGGACTAGATTGTTCTAGCGCGCGTTCTACAGAAGGGCTTATCCTTCGGTAGTGACAGTACCGTAAATTGTACAATCCATGTCCATCCGACCTTCTTGGGCATGACTTGAGCCAATAGAGGCAGAAAGTTCACAGCGAAAAACATGAAACTAAAACTTCCTTCATTACGTCTTCAGTCATATGGGATCCGCCTAACCTCTTCTACAAGCTCCACCCCAAATTCCTCTCTCACCCTTCTCTTCACCTCCACAATCAGCCCTTCCATATCCTCACTACTACACACCCCATCATTCACTAGAAAATTAGCATGCATCGACGATACAATAGCATCTCCCACACGCAGGCCCTTCAGCCCTGCCCGGTCTATCAGAGCTCCTGCAGAGGCAGGGAGAGTTGCTGCTGCTGATGCACCACCTGCTGCTAAAAGGGTTGGTGGTGACGAGCCAAGGGGAGGTGCGGGGTTGCGGAATATGCAGCCAACGGAGCGATCGGCAATGGGTTGGGATTGCCGGCGCCTGGGGAAGAAAACGGGGCAACAGATGGGTGGGGTGGGGTGGGGTAGAAAGGTTAAACAGAGTGCGAATTGAAAGTGAGCAGGGGGCAGCGGATTGGGAGTGTGGTAACTGCTGTGTTAAAAACGAGTTCGCGGATCAGCAGGCTCCTGGCAATAACGAGTGCGTGGATCACACAGCACACTGCAGAGGGAAGGAGACTCAGAGAGGGACATACTTGCTTAGGCAGGTTTTGCACCACGTGTTTGCCCTACACACCAGGTAACTTGGCAGTAAAACATCTCAGCCAACAGACATTGGGCACTGCCCTTACCTGTCCATGTATCTCTGCTGCCTGTCCTGCGCCTCACTGCTTCTCTTGAGCCCAAACGTGGATCCCACTATGGCAGCGCAGACTAGAATGTGCCGGAGGAAGGGTGAGAGGCGGTACGCAAAGCCGCAAAGGCTTGAATACGGAGTCTAAGTGCAACCACTCACCTGTCCATGTGTCACCGCTGTCTGCCCCGCGCCTCACTGCTCCTTCTCAGCCCAAACAAGGCCCCCACTATGGCAGCGCAGTCTGGCATGTGCTGGAAGGGCGAGTGGCGGTAAGCGAAGGGAAGGTGACTACTCGTGCCCCACCTGTACCCACGTACCCCACTCACCTGCCCCCACGTACCCCACTCACCTGCCCCCATGCGCTGGCCTCACCTGTCCATGTATCTCCGCTGCCTGTCCCGTGCTTCACTGCTTCTCTTGAGCCCAAAGGTAGCGCCAACAATGGCAGCGCAGTCTGGCATGTGCTGGAAGGGCGAGTGGCGGTAGGCGAAGGCGAGGCCGGAGCGCGAGAAGGAGAGGAGAGCCCCTGCAGGCGAGAGGACGTCCACAGCGAGCAACGAGTCGGCTGTTTCCTGAGGGAGAAAGGAGGGAGTGAGGGAGGGAAGAGAGAGTGAGGGAGGGAAGAGTGAGTGAGTGAGGGAGGGAGGGAGGGAGGGAGGAAAGGGGTGCAACAAGGGAGAGATGATGAAGGAGAGGTTTGAGTGAGAGGAGGAGAGCAGAATCCCTGCCGTAGAGAGGACGTCTCCACAGAGAGAAGAGATTCGGCTGGTTCCTGAGGGGGAGAGGATGGAGGGAGAGGAGGAGAGGAGAGTCCTGGAGAGAGCAGGCACGCCCACAGAAATCATGGAGTGAAGCGGTCTGCAAATCCCTGAGGGGCGTGGGTGGGAGGTGGGTGGAGAGTTTGGGGATTCAAGAAGCATGGAAAGAGTTGTTGAGAGAGCGAGGATGCACAGGGAGAGGGGAAAATCAGTGTTTGAGGAGTCTATTTTTGAGGCGCCTCAAAAAAGGGAGAGGGGAAAATCAGTTGCTCACCTGCCTGTCCGCCCCTGCGCTCATGACCACAGCACCCCCCACAGTCCCTGGCATTCCCCATCCCTTGGCGTTCCAATTTCCGTCTCAAACCCTATTTCCACCAACACTCTCCCCCTACGGTCTCTCACCTGCCCGTCCGCCCCCGCGTTCATGAACACAGCCCCCCCCACGGTGCCCGGAATGCCTCCAGCGAACTCCAATCCTGAAAGGCCTTCCCTGGAGCACTCCACGCCCAGCAGATTGAACGGGTAGCCCCCTCCCACATGCACTAGCATGTCATAGGCAGAGGCCTGGCTGGTGCTCCTGCCATTGCTGTTGCTGCTAGTGCTGCTGCTGCTGCTGCTGCTGCTGCTGGCAGTGCTTCCCTTGCTGGCGTTTTGCATGTCTGCACCCTTCTCCCCCTGCTCCCCCTGCTCCCCCTGCTCCCCCTGCTCCCCCTGCTCCCCCTGCTCCCCCTTCTCCCCCTGCTCCCCCTGCTCCCCCTGCTCCCCCTGCTGCACCTGCTCCACTCGCTTGTAGGCGATTCTGTTTACAATCACACACCCCTTAAAGCCCCGGTCGTCAAAGAGGCAGTTAGAGCCCTTGCCGATGACCACAGTGCGGATGGCGTTGCAGTGGCAGAACCTGGAGGGAGAATCATCGTTCACGGGCGAAGGGGGGGTTGAAGCGCAGAAGCGGGGGGTGGATTAGCGCCACCACCACTTCTTCATCTGCGCTGCAACCACTCTGACTAGACTTGAACGCGTTAGGTTGTTGAGAATTCTCAGAAACCTCACACAGCCTAGAAGTGGGGGAGCATCAGCGCCACCATCACTACTTCATCTAAGCAGCAACCAATCTGACTAGACTTGAACGCCCTCCCACTAGCACTTACTTAAGCACTGCAGCCATTTCATCTACAGTGGTCACTTCGACCAGCCAGTCCGCGGGCCCGCCTATTCCCCACGTCCCCACTTCCGCCAACCGCCTTCCCCCCTCGAGAACTACGCTCCGTCCTTCCCCCACCTCCACCGCCAAAGCGTCCCCCCTTCCGCCCATGACCCTTCCGCCAGTCGCCCTTCCGCCTAGGCGACCTGTCCTTCCGCCAACGGGCTTCCGCCTTCCGCCTGTTCCCGCGCTCTCGCCGGCGCCATCATTGCGGTTGCGCAGATGCGCCGAAACGGGGGGATAGCTTCCGCAGATCAGGGTCCGACCAGCCTTGTCAGCAGCGACGTGGGTTATTTCAATGCCGCCAGCTGGAGCTTTTGGAAAGGAGGAAAAGACATTCCCGAGGGTGTGAATCCGCGGGAAATTCCCTGGGTAACTTGGGAACGAGACACTCCCTAGGTTCTTCGGCAGGCAGACGTTTCCTAGATAATTCATCTGCAATCTTTTCCTGGGCTTTTTCAGCTCATGCCAGGTCTCGATGCTGTCAGAACCCTCGAGGAACAAAGCCTCCTCTTCTCGTGGAAACAGGGCTCGCGCGCTATCTGGGATGGCTCAGGCCTTTTAGCGCGAACGAGCGGAGAGGGTGAGGACAAAAAGCGTCCGACACGGAGCGGCAAATTTGCACGCTGGAGCGAACGACTGCAGGGGAAGGGAGAGCCGTTCTCCACGAGCGGCGGATAATCGCGGAATGGTGGTTGCCTTCTAGGTTTGATCAGTGTCTGACGGAGCTACCGGCTAGGCACTCTCCTCCATCCTCAGCAGAAATGGAGGGCCTTGCTCCCGTAAAGCGACCCATCACAAGGCTCCATTATTCTGTGACTCTCATTATGGAAAGTCGCGGCAGAGCGAAGACGTGAAATTTGAAACAGTCGTTTGGAGTTCCGCCAAAAATTGGGGTGTCAGGGCGGGTGCGTGTCCGCGACAGATGAATACATACCCTCCGCAACACGGGTGAAGTCTCGGGCGCTAGGGGGTTTCCCCCCGGGGCTCGCAGGTGGATCGGCGTGGGAAAGGGGGCCTGGTTTCCTCCTGGGATCTCCTTAAAGCCCAAAAATAAAGACAGATTAATACATTACACAACGTTTACAGGGCAGTTTTCTGCAAGGAAATAAATCACTAACTCGTAAATTTATTTAACATAGATACCTCTCCGGACGACAAGGCTCAACGAGGACAACTAGAGGAAAAATAATGTATAGTATCTGGTGCAGATCGGGAGCATATAAATCATTTCCGATCTGTTACTAACTCCAAGCAAAACTACAAATCCTACACTATGTGTGCACTGACTGAACAATTATCTAGCTAGTCTAATAGAGAGCGGCCTCCTGATGAGCTAGTAGGCCTAGGAGCCAAGCCCGCCCCAGTGATAAAACCATACTGCAGCGCTTGAAGCTGCGCCAGTAGTACAGCTCCCGCTCCAAACGCCAGTAGGTGCATCGCACACAGTTTAAACGCCAACGAGGAGTAAACAGGCAACCCCAGGAGGATAAGAGAGAGCACTAGGTACTGTAGCAGCCAGTAAATCGCTGCTGTGGCGCCTACCAGGGCTTTAACCATCGAAAGACCGGAGAAGGTGCCGAATATGAAAAGCGCCCATCCGAAAAAGGGGTGTACGGTGGTTGGGACGAGCGAAAACGAGACAAACGCCGAGAGAGCTACGAGGGAGAGAGTGAGGAGAAACCGAAGAGAGAGGTAGGAGGAGAGACCCAAAGCACCCCCAGCAGCAGCAGCCGCTCCTGTAGCTGCTACCCCCCCGCCACCCCCACTGGGTGCGCCGCCTGGTGTGCCTAGGCCTGTTCCCAGCCCCCCTAAGCGCGAATAGGGACTGGTTGACCCAACTCCCCCTGCTCCCCCTCCTCCTCCTCCTGCTGCTGCTGCACTCCCCCCTATGCCTGAAACAACAGGGGCGGCACCTACGTGTCTGTATCCCCTGGTGAGGCGGTACAGGAAAGAGGACGGGTCGGCTGCCGCCCGGGCGATGACGTGGCTGAGTGCGAGCACTACGAGCCAGAAGACGCCGGCCGAGAGGCAGGCGGGGAGGTGGGAGGAGTAGCCGAGGGTGGAGAGGCGCCAGGAGTGCCATTGGAGAGAGAGGGCGAGGAGGGGGTAGGACCACCACAACCAGGGCTTTAACTGGGAGACCCCGGGGAAGGTGATGATCTTGTTGTCCGAGCAAGGCACTTCCCACTTGAATTTCAGGTCTGCAGGACGAGAAAGACGAGGGGGGGGAAGCAAAGCACGATGGGTAACTCACTTGTTACACTCACTGTAGAAGATTCGGCATCGCATGGGCAGCCGGAATTGCCCTTTCCCCTTCCCCCTGGCAGGTGCTAGTGATCTGGTTGCACCCATTGTAGAGCATGGCATCGTTTGGCAAGACTCGTTACACTCGCTGTAGTGGATGGTTCTTGGGGCGCCTAAAAAAAGCATCCGCTGGCAAGACTTGTGACTCAAAACACTCACTGTAGAGGATGGTGTGCATCTGGTAGCCCACGGAAAGCCGGTATCGCCCTTTGAGCGCCGAGCCGTGGTGAGGTGGTGCAATGAGGGGGGCTACTGCCCCATGTGACTACACCAGCATGTGCTACTGATCTGGGTACCCTCACTGTAGTAAATCACATCCATCTGGTACCCCATAGGCAGCCGGAATTGCCCTTTGAGCTCCAGATGACAATGCCATGTGATTGTAATCTGGTAGCATCTGCTGAAAATGTAACACTCATTATAGAGAAAGCACTCACTGTAGTAAATCGCATCCATCTGATACCCCATGGGCAGGCGGAATTGCCCTTTGAGCGCCGAGCCGTCGTCGGGCGGTGCAAAGAGCGGCGCACTGAGCAGCGCTGAGAAGTACTGGTTGAGGAAGCCCTGGTCCGCTGCATCGAAGGACGGGAGGGAGCGCAGCTGCTGCATCATGTCCTTGAACACCTTCACTGACGGCTGGGGTCATTTGGTTGGGATGGAGAAAGGGATGAGGAACAGCACAAACTGGGGGCTGTTAGGGAGAGCTGGTGAGTACTCGAAGAGGGGGAGCATCAAAGGAGGGGAGGGAGCGCAGGTGCTGCATCATGCCCTTGAACACCTTCACTGACGGCTGGGAGGACGGGTGGGAGGACAGGGGTTGAAGCATAGAATGAGGCGGAGCGGGGCGAGTGCACAGCTGCTGCATCATGTCCAACACCTTCACTGACGGCTGGGAGGAAGGGGGGCGAGCAGAAATGGGACGGACACAGTAATGGGGGTAGGGGGTCGGGGGCTGTTGCAGCTGCATCATGCCCTTCAACACCTTCACTGACGGCTGGGAGGGGGGGTTTGGATAGGAGGACGGGTGGGAAGGAAGGGTTTGGAGAATGGAATGTGCCCTGGAACACCTTCACTGAGGGCTGGGAGCAAAATGAAGAGAGTAGAGAATGGAATGGGGGAGGGGGAGCAAAGGGAGGTGGGGGGGCAGGGGAAAAGAGGGGGGGCCAAGGGGAAAAGAGGGGGGGCCAAGGGGAAAAGAGGGGGGGGCAAGGGGAAAAGAGGGGGGGGGGGAAGGGGACAGGAGGGGGGAGCAAGGGCTGGCAATAGCAGTGGTGACTGCTCGGACGGCACACAGATTGATAAACACAGCATTCATGCTGCCACACAGAAAAAAACCCATCCATACGCATGGAAAGTAATCTACCAGGAGTAACATTCGTTCAAAGGTGACCTGATAAAAGGTGACTTGATGAAAGGTGGCATGATTTAAAGTTACTTGAAAAAAGGTGGCATTATAAAAGGTGACTCGAAAACGCACTCAGTACGACAAGGCTGGTACGGAGCGAGGCCATCTGCATTCCACAAGCGACCTGGAAATTACATGGGATTTACCTGGAAATTACCTAGAATTTTCTGTGCAACAACCTTGCAATGTCCTTAACCTTGGGATTACCTTAAAGCCCGAGTTCCAAGTTGCTAGAATTGACCACCAAATCTATTAGGTTTGATAGCCCTCGAAATTGGTGAGCTGGAAAAGTGTCGCGAGAAACTGTCGAAACGGTCTAGGGAGGATTCGCCACGCGCGAATTGCTGAAATTCGCCACTTCGCCAAACATTTCTCCACCCTCGCTACGCTCGCCAACTAACTCCCCCGCGGAACCCTGAACAGCCCCTTTGTCCGGGTAGCACCAAACCTAATAGGTTTGATCAACTTGGTACTCGGGCTTGAAGCACTATCAGCCCCGTAAGAAGCGTGCACAGGTTGAAGAGCACTGCACACATGCCACCACCCAGGCACAGCTCACCCAATTCCCCATGCTGCCTTGAACCAGAGATTACCGCGACATCACCTTGGGATTACCTTGAGTAATATCAGCCCCGTGTGATGAAGATGGCACACATGCTGCCGCATTGAAACACCTTGTCCACGTTCTTGAGCATAAGGTTGTCGGCACGGCACCCAGCAGCATGACCCGCTTGTACTCCCTGAGGCTACCTCGAGAATCTACCTTATAACGGATGTTACAAGATTGATGTCACCTTGGAATGGGGATTACCTTTAAGACAATAAGGCCAGTGTGAAACGTGCAGGGATTACCTTGGGATTACCTTGGGATTCTCTTGGGATTACCTTGAGCACAATCAGGCCAGTGTGAAACGTGCAGGGGTTGATGAACACAGCGCACATGCTGCCGCACCGAAACAGCTCGTCCACGTTCTTCAAGACGAGGTTGTCCGCGTCCAGCAGCACCACGCGCTTGTACTCCTTCAGGCGCCACGCCAGCAGCTTGTTCAGCGCGAAGGGGAAGCGCGGGTTGTAAGACGTGCTGCCCTTATAGGGGTTGGCGATGTTGTTCACACGCACCACGCGCACTCCCTCCTTCTTGCTGAAGGGGGGCGGGGGAAGGGGGGTGGGGGGGGGAGGGGGGGTGATAGCAATACGGATGATGAGAGAGGGGAAGCGCGAGTTAAGGCAAGGCGGTGCTTCCCCCGAAAGGGTTGGCGATGTTGCTCACACGGACCATCCGCGCTCACACGGACCCTCCGCGCTCACACGGACCCTCCGCGCTCACACGGACCCTCCGCACTCACACGGACCCTCCGCACTCGCTCCTTTTTCCTGGGGGGAGAGAGTGAGAAAGAGGTGGGGAGGAGGATGGAGAGTGGGGGGGAGAATGGGGAGAGGAGGAAGAGGGTTGGGAGAGGAGGGGGGGGGGGTATGAGTGAGCAGCCAGCAGCTCTCCATCTGCTCTCCCGCTGATGAGTGACCCGCTTGTACGCTCTGAGCCGCCACGCCAGGTGACTTTTGAGTCGACTCAAAAGTCGCTTGTGCGCTCTGAGCCGCCACGCCAGCACCCCTCCATCAGCTGGTTGAGGGCCAAGGGGAAGCGCGGGTTCTCGTTATTCTCTGGGGGTGACTAAGGCTTGAAGCACAAAACCAGTGCAGTATGCTTCTAATTTTCTCCAGAAACATACGGATCGAAGCATGACTCACTCCGCGTGTATGTTCCAGGAATTAGGGACGTCCGCCGACGCCAGGGCATTGAAACGGGTAAGAACGAGGACGATTCACTCACAGCGTATTAGTCCAGGAATTAGGGCCGTCGTCTGATGCGTTGCTGCAGCGGTATTACCAGTGTAATCTGCTGTTCACAATTTTCAAGTTGAATTTGACTTGAACGGAACAAGGTTTAACTCACAGCGTGTTCGTCCAGGAATCAGGGACGTCCTCCGACGCCAGCACGACGAGATCCGCAGCGGTGCCCGTGCGTCGGACGGTCTGCAGCATGACACGTGTCGCCACGTAATACTCGTAGTCACGTGGCGTGCCCATGTACAGGATCGCCACGTAAGCAAACGACGCGTTGGCTGCCACGTCGGATCGCATCAGCGAGAATTCCGGCGCCTGGCCCGGCGCGGTGGCTACGGGTTCCGCCGAAACGTGCCGCGGAACGGGGAGGGCGGCGCGTTTTGTCTCTTCTGCCACGTCACTCATCGCCACGGCCGACGCAGTAGTGCGCGCCGCCGCGAATTGCGGCGATGCGAGGAAGAGCACGCACGCGAGTAGGACATGACGAAACATAGTGCGACTCGGAGGGAAAAATGGTGTCCACTATAACGAGGAAGTGGCCTGTCTATAACGAGGATGAACTCACGCACGGTGTGACCAGTAACGAAGCAGGCAAAATGAAAGACAGAACCCCTGTCAATTTCACGAGGCGCAGATACGATACAGGCCCTCACACTACCTGCGCGAAATGCGGAGAAGCACGCAGGTGTGCCATGGTGTGGTATGCACTACTAGCCAGGAGCGGTTTACTGCTAGCCTGCTACTACCGTACCTAGATCTGTGCGATAGAGGCTATGGCGTCGCCTCGGCTTGACTAGGCCGCGTGTTCAAAATCGCGATACAGGCTGACCGTTTACAGGGCGAATAACTCTCTACTATGAAAGCAACTATGCTGACCTGCATGCAAATGTGAGACGCATTGTGTGTGCTTCCTTAGACCTAGTGCCAGTGACCAGGCCAAGGTATCACACATCAAGCACCTGGATGTCCAACACAAACACACATGATACAAAGAGATCTATACAGGGAGACCTAACCACGACACGGCAAGTATGGACCAGGAGCGGCACGGCAAGCAAGCAACCCTCATCAGCCCCACTTGACCAACCAGGCAGCTCGTCAAACCCCTGCACAGGAGTATGTGATGCGAGGCGAGGTATACACAACACGAGGAATATGGAGCGGCATGGCAAGCAGCGCTGGTCAGTTGATGACCATTCCCACTTGACCAATCAGGTGCAGACGAGGGTTGCTATGCCCGAGGTAGAACACATCAGTCACCTGAGACCCCAGCACACACACACACGAGACCAGAGGAATGCGTCATAAAACAATGTGAGAAGGGAGGAACTGTCAAGAATATCTTTGAGTCGACTCAAAAATCACAATGTGAGAACGGAGGGACTTTCAAGAATAGGGCAACAAAGCATGCCAAGTGGAACAGGAGGGAGAGAGCTGGGCGGGCAGGCAGGCAGCAATTTGAGCAGCCATGGAGCCGTCTCGCTACCTCCAGAAACATAATAGTATGCGTTGACACGACACCTTGACACCGCTGCGAAGCCATATAAAAAGGTTCCAAAAGAGACTCACTAGTGAATAAGAAGAACCTGAGGATTCACCTGGGAGCAGCCGTAGAGGCAGAGTCTGGAGAGGTTGGGGCAAGAATCGGCAAGCAGGCCGAGAGCGTGGTTGGACACGGAGCGGCACCACGACACGTCCAGAGACTCGAGAGATTCGTGGGAGCAGCGCGCCAGAGAGATAAGCAGACCGTCTCCTGCCTGTGCAGCGGGGGGGGTGCGGGTGGGAAGTGAGGGCCTTGTGTGCGTAGGAATGAGTAAGCAAGCCAAGGGCGTGCTTGGAGATAGAGCCTGATTCGAGACGATTGGACTATCGGGCAGCGTTGGAAAGAAAAACGGCGTGGTTGGAAAAAGAGTACGTTTTCGAGTCGGAAAAAAAACAGGGCGTGGTTGGTTAGAGACACTGCTACACCAGAAGGCGTCCAGGGCTCCAGAGATCCCTGCAAGCACTGCTCACCATTGCTTTGACCCCCCTCATAGACTTCATTGACTAAAAGGATCTGCAGAACAGCGTTGCAGGGGATTTTGGAGAATCCTAAACTATACCCTGTGTGACATTGTAACGAGTTGTCTTTTGGTTCGGCTCTAAGGTCACCTCGATCGCTCTGAACCACCTCATATACTGCCTGCATTGACTGCGTTGACTCACACCCACCTCATAAACTGCGTTGACCGAGAGGATCTGCAGGGCGGCGCCTGAGGCCTGGATGAGTGCCGCGAGAGCAGCGTCACTGAGAGAAGGAGACATAAGGGAGGAGACAGATGGACGACGATACGATAGATTTAGGGAGGAGGATCGCTGGATGGGGGATAGAGGATGGCTGTTAGGACATGTAGGAAAAGATAGATGGAGGGAGGAGGAAAAGATAGATGGAGGGAAAGATAGATGGAGGGAAAGATAGAAGGAGGAAAAGATAGATGGAGGGAAAGATAGAAGGAGGAAAAGATAGAAGGAGGGAAAGATAGATGGAGGGAAAGGTAGAAGGAGGAAAAGATAGATGGAGGGAAAGACAGAAGGAGGAAAAGATAGATGGAGGGAAAGATAGATGGAGGGAAAGATAGAAGGAGGAAAAGATAGATGGAGGGAAAGATAGAAGGAGGGAAAGATAGATGGAGGGAAAGATAGATGGAGGGAAAGGTAGAAGGAGGAAAAGATAGAAGGAGGAAAAGATAGATGGAGGGAAAGATAGAAGGAGGAAAAGATAGGAGGAAAAGATAGTTGGAGGGAAAGATAGAAGGAGGAAAAGATAGATAGATGGAGGGAAAGATAGAAGGAGGAAAAGATAGATGGAGGGAAAGATAGATGGAGGAAAAGATAGATGGAGGGAAAGATAGATGGAGGGAAAGATAGATGGAGGGAAAGATAGATGGAGGGACAGACAGATGGAGTGACAGGCTGCTGGAGCATATGAAGGGAAAGAAGACACTTAGGTGGCTTAGAACCCAAAGCGGATTCGAGCGAGGTTGAGTGAATGCAGCATACGGAACGTGGATAGTAGTACATAGTAAATAGTAGAAGCGTGAGGTACATACATAGTACACAAAGTATACACGGAGGTAGTATATACTGGTATATTATAGTGGCAACTGGATCTGACCAGGTTGAATGCGCATTGAAGCATTAAAATTGGCAACGAAAAAAGCAAAAAATGCAGTCTGATTGAGACCTCAAGAAAGCAGTCTTGCTACTTTGTAAGGTCCCATATAGTTTTGTACGGTGGTCTAAGAGGTGTTTGACAACGCTATTGCCTTGTCTTGTCAACGAGGCATGATCTGACAATATGCCAATCTCTCACCTGATGTTGGACTGAGTGAGCAGAGCACAGCCTCGAGACTTACCCTCATGACCCGATTCAGACACACAATCGCCCGTGCAAAAAGCGAGGTTGACTGAAGGCACCCCCCCCACTTTCCTCCCTCACTCTCCGCTCTCACTCCCTCACTCTTCACCCACACTCACCTGAAGCTGGCTCGAGTGAGGTTGAGCGAGCGAAGCTTGAGTTGGGCGGAGCACAGGGAGTGGAGGGAGGCGTCAGTGAGGAGGGGAAGGTGCGAGAGGTCTAGAGCGGTTAGGGACGGTGCGTTGGCTGCTGCTGCTGCCACTGATGCGTCTGTTATTTCTCTGTGGGTTGGGGAGGAAAGGAGGCGAGAAGGGAGAGAGGGAGGAGAGGAGAGAGGATGGGGAGGGTGAGAAAGACCTTGCTAGTGTTGTTAACAATTATGCTGCTGCTGCTGCTGCTGCTGCTGCTGCTGCTGCTACTTTTGAGGATGGAGGAGGAGCAGCTGACTTTGAGTCGACTCAAAAGTTAACGATGGTGCATATGCTGCTACTGATGTGTGTGTTATGGCCCTGCAGCAATGTGCGGAGGACGGAGGAGGGGGAGGGAAGGAGGGGATGACTATTTGAGAAGTGCGAGAGGAGGGAGAAAAGTGTCAGAGGGGAGGGGGCGAATGGGAGGGGGCGAATGGGAGGGAGCGAATGGGAGGGAGCGAATGGGATGGGGCGAATGGGAGGGAGCGAATGGGAGGGAGCGAATGGGAGGGAGCGAATGGGATGGGCGAATGGGATGGGGCGAATGGGAGGGAGCGAATGGGATGGGGCGAATGGGAGGGAGCGAATGGGATGGGGCGAATGGGATGGGGCGAATGGGAGAGGGCGAATGGGAGGGAGCGAATGGGATGGGGCGAATGGGATGGGGCGAATGGGAGGGAGCGAATGGGATGGGGCGAATGGGATGGGGCGAATGGGAGGGAGCGAATGGGATGGGGCGAATGGGATGGGGCGAATGGGAGGGAGCGAATGGGATGGGGCGAATGGGATGGGGCGAATGGGATGGGGCGAATGGGAGGGAGCGAATGGGATGGGGCGAATGGGATGGGGCGAATGGGATGGGGCGAATGGGAGGGAGCGAATGGGATGGGGCGAATGGGATGGGGCGAATGGGATGGGGCGAATGGGATGGGGCGAATGGGATGGGGCGAATGGGATGGGGCGAATGAGAGTGCTCTCTTGCTGCTTACGATGATGCATGGGGTGCTGCTAGGGAAGAAGCATGGTGTGCTGCTAGGGAAGAAGCATGCTTACTTGGAGTCCGCGAGGCAAAAGCATACACACTTACTTGCCGTGTTCCAACAGACGGCAGCATCAGACAACACGGCATCATGGTATCAGAGACTGACTGACGGCACTCCAGTCCAGAGAGCGACAGGCAGTGCGAGCAGACAGGCATTTCGGAAAGGAGGAGAGGAAGCATGCTTACTCGCAGTGCGCCAGGCAGAGCTCCTTTAAGCTCGAGCCGATTGTGGAAAGCGAATCGTTCAGCACCGCATCAGACTCCCAAGACAACCGAAAACACTCCAGATAACGACAGGCAAGACAGGCAGACAGGGTATCAAGAGAGGAGGGAATAGAGGCACTTACTCGCAGTGCGCCAGGCAGAGCTCCTTCAAGCTCGAGCCGATTGCAGGGAGCAGGTCACTGAACACAGGATCAGGCACCGACGACACTCCACACAGCGACAGGTAGAACAGGACAGGCCTGCTTACCCCCTTGAGTCCCGGCAGCAGCACAGCAGCGTTCAGCTGGCAGCAGCCGTCCAGACGGAGGACCTTGAGCGACGAGGAGAGGGAGGAAAGGAGGGTGATACTTCTGGGGAGGAGAGGAGAAGAGGAATACTTACTCGCAGTGTGCCAGGGACAGCTCCTTCAGGTTGGAGCCGATTGCAGGGAGAAGCTCGCTCAGTACAGCGTCAGACACCGAAGACAGTCCAGCCAGCGACAGGCAGGACAGCCCTGTCAGCTGCTTCATCCCCAGGAGCAGCACAGCAGCGTCCAGCTGGCAGCAGCCGTCCAGACGGAGGGTATTGAGCGAGGAGGAGAGGGAGGAGATGAGGGTGGAAACTGCAGGGGAGGAGAGGAGCGGGCAGTGGAGGAGGGAGAGGTGCGCGAGGGCAGGCGCGGCGAGGGCGAGAGGGGGGAGGGAGGCGTCGGAGAGGCGGTATGCGCCTTGCAGGGCGAGGGAGCGGAGGGCGGGGAGGGTGGTAGGGCTGTGTAGGAGTGTGGTGGTGAGACAGGCGTCGGAGAGGCTTCGACCACACATGGAGAGATGAAAGAGCTGCGTGGGGGGGAGGGGAGGAGGAGGAGAGGAAGTTGGTTGAGTGCGAATGAAGGAGAGTAGATACTGCGAGGGAGGGAGCGGAGAGGCGGGAGGAGGGAGGGAGGGAGGAGGGAGGAGGGAGGAGGGAGGAGGGAGGAGGGAGGAGGGAGGAGGGAGGAGGGAGGAGGGAGGAGGGAGGAGGGAGGAGGGTGGAGGGAGGAGGGAGTCTGGGGGGAGTGAGAGAGTGAAGGACGGGCGATGCTGCGAGGCCGGCACTGTGGGTAGTGGGCTGGGCCAACAGGTGCATTAACAGGGGCCGGTGCTGTGGGCTGCGAGGCCGGTGCTGTGGGCTGCGAAGCCGGTGCTGTGGGCTGCGAGGCCGGTGCTGTGGGCTGCTGGCTGCGAGGCCGGTGCTGTGGGCTGCGAGGCCGGTGCTGTGGGCTGCGAGGCCGGTGCTGTGGGCTGCGAGGCCGGTGCTGTGGGCTGCGAGGCCGGTGCTGTGGGCTGCGAGGCCGGTGCTGTGGGCTGCGAGGCCGGTGCTGTGGGCTGCGAGGCCGGTGCTGTGGGCTGCGAGGCCGGTGCTGTGGGCTGCGAGGCCGGTGCTGTGGGCTGCGAGGCCGGTGCTGTGGGCTGCGAGGCCGGTGCTGTGGGCTGCGAGGCTGGTGCTCTGGGCTGCGAGGCTGGTGCTCTGGGCTGCGAGGCTGGTGCTGTGGGCTGCGAGGCTGGTGCTGTGGGCTGTGAGGCTGGTGCTGTGGGTAGCGGGCTGGGCCAACAGGTGCAGGGCTCACCCGTGAAAGAGACGCACTCACCTCTAGATTGGCCGCATTGCAGGTGCTGAGAGCGCTCTTCAGATCCGCCTCACGGACCAAGAAACAATCCGCCACTCTCAGCTCCGACGCCACTCCCTCCAGAAGCACGTGCACGGTGCACGCCATGGCGACATGGCATGCAGAACAGCATTGGTGACATGACATGCAGAACAGCATTGGTAGCACGTGGAAGCACACACTCACCTCCAGGTTGGCGGCATTGCAGGTGCTGAGAGCGCTCTTCAGATCCGCCTCACTGACCAACGAACAGTCAGCAACACTCAGCTCCGTCGCCACTCCTTCCAGCAGCAGGTGCAGCACTCGCCCGTCCAGCCGCCTCTGAGCGCTCAGGCACGCACTCAGGTCCCTCCTCACCGCGTCAGGCACCCCCTCCACCGACTCCAACCCATCTATATGCGTCGCTACTAGCTCCAGGCATAACGAGTAGAGGCTCCGCGGACCTCTCCCCCCTCCCCCCCCTCCCCCGCCTCCCCCACTCCCTCCTGTGCCTATCCGCCAATCTTTCACTCCGCCTTGCTGTTTAGAATCTGTTAAAGCCAGATCTGGAACCCTAGCTTTGGGAGTCCATGCTACAACCCCCCCGGCTACAACCGCGCTAGCGCCAGCGCCGGCTCCTGCTCTCCCCTCCGATTTTTCCACCTCCCCCGCCGCGCTTCCCCCTGTGCGCGCCCCCGCGCCCCCTTGCGCCTGCCTGGCGGCTGCAGCCGCGGCTCTCCCCCGCACCAGCTGCCTCGCGGTGGCAAACGGGCCCGGCCAATGCTCCGCCTCCCCCGCCTCCCCCCGACCTGCTCCCCCCTCCCTGCGTCCCCCCCGACCCCCTCCCCCCGCACTGTTGCCCCCCCTGGTCCTCCTTCCCCCCCAGCCAAAGCAGGCGCGGGCGCGTCGGAGCCAGCAGCGCGTTCCGCGGCACCCGCCTGGGCCGAAGCGGAGGGGGCGGACGCGCGGGCAGCGGGAGGGGGTTCACGCACGCCCGCGCGGGGAGCGGAGGAGAGGCGGGAGGAATCGTCGAAGTGGGCGAAATGGGCGGCTCTCCGCCGTGCGATCGAGAGGAATCGACGGCGCGCCACGTCACCCGCGTCCACGCTGGCACCACCTCCGCCAACGTGTTCCGAGTCAGCGCCAGCCTGTCCAGAAGCCGTGCCAGCCGTAGCGCCATCGCCAGCCGTACGATCAGCGCTATTGTCATCCGCACGATCATCAGCCGTACGATCTACAAGCCCCCTCTGGACCCTTGCGTCGCTTGGCTCCTCATCGCCTGTCCATGCGACGTCGGGTGCGATCTCGTCGCTTGCGATATTCGCGGGTGCATCCTCCTGAATGCCCTCCGCTTCTTGAAGCGAAGGTGCTGGTTGCGGCGTCGCATGGCTGCTGGCGACTCCGCGCGACATGGATCTCGTTCGCACACGTCGCGAGGCTTCGTCCGCCTGCGATTGCGGCTCTGGCGGCTTTCGTCGGGCCATAAGCGGCTACGGGATTAAACTGACGACGACCGTTGCAAGCGATATAAGAACGTCTCCTCTAGCAAATGATCAATTATTTGTCGGGAACGCTACTTCCAAGAGAGACTACGCGCTTTCCAGTCGCAAGTAATGATGAGCCTCTCTTACTGATCGCGAATGCCGGAACCCGATTAAAAACGGCGGATCGCGATTGAAAATGACAGATTCCGGTCGGTGACGACGAATTCTGATAAACAAGACAAGCATCCCAGAAGCTAGAGGCCACAAAGCAGCAGAGATTTGGAGCAGCAGCAGCAGAAGCAATAGTAGGTAGGAGGGCATCAGAGAGGGGTTGAGAGGTGTGGAAATGGGTAATGGGCGCGATGAGAAGGGAGGCAATGGCGTGACGGTGAAGCCTGAAAGCTATATGTTCCCAAGGAGACCAAGCTCGTCCGTGGAGCGTTTCGTTAGCACACAGAAGACGAACACTGAAATTGTTGCAAGAGCCTCTAAAATTTACAACTAAGAATGCTACAATTAAGCAATTTTACTCAAAAATCATACATGTGTTTTTCACTTCCCTGAATTCACAGCGGTTCCCTTGGAAACCGGGAACACGGAGAGAGGCTTCTGCTTGTGCAACCTATATCGCTGCGGGCGCGTAAACCTCAGTAACTCCGCACCGTGCCAGCCTGTTACCAGCCACAGCAGTCCTCGTAACCGGTCCCTTTCTAGCCTTATCTTTGTCTCTGCTTCAACCTCTCCTATCTCCTCTTTAAACTCCCCTTCCTCCTCCCCTCTCCCCTTCACAAAACGTCCCCCAGCAGCACCACTTCCATCCCCCAGTGCTTCCAGCAATGCCTCAGATATTCCGACATCTCCACCCTTCACAATCGTTCGCCTTGCTCCGTTCTTGATTTTGTAAAGGTCTCTCTTGCTCGGAAGTGATACTGTAGAGAAGGCAATCCCGTGCGTCCGCAGCACGATCGCCGCCAGCAGGGCCGCACGCGGCATGTGGTAATCTGACGTAACCACAAGCACATGCGTGATTTTAAGCCGCTGAAATGTGCGTAACATCGTCGTGAAGTTGGTAACCGTGTCCAGCGCATGGTTGTCCACTCTCAGCCGCGCAGCCGCCACGCCTTCCCCCATCATGACGTCAGCAGCATCATCATGACCCGACGAAATGAACACCGGAAGCGTCCCAGATGCTGCGGCATGAGCAGGCGGGAGAGGGTCTAGGGTACCCTCGACTAGCGGTTTGGGAGACGAGGTGAAGATAGAGTCAAAGGCAAGGCCACCAGCGGCACCGCTGTTGCCACTGCTGCTGCTGCTGGGGCTCGCCTCCTTGGAGGGGTGAGAAGATGCGGAGGAGTGGTGTGGGGTAGCCAACAGGGCGGCGAATCTCCCAGCCAATCGTTCCCTCAGGCGATCACCCCCCAGCACGAGAATGGCCTGAGGGGACGGGAGGGGGGAGGGCACGAGAGGGGAATCAACCGAGACAGGGGAAGTGGTGGGGAAGGGAGGGGACGGGAGGGGGGAGGGCACGAGAGGGGAATCAACCGAGACAGGGGAAGTGGTGGGGAAGGGAGGGGACGGGAGGGGGGAGGGCACGAGAGGGGAATCAACCGAGACAGGGGAAGTGGTGGGGAAGGGAGGGGACGGGAGGGGGGAGGGCACGAGAGGGGAATCAACCGAGACAGGGGAAGTGGTGGGGAAGGGAGGGGACGGGAGGGGGGAGGGCACGAGAGGGGAATCAACCGAGACAGGGGAAGTGGTGGGGAAGGGAGGGGACGGGAGGGGGGGGGGGGTGTGGGTGGGTGTAAGTGAGAGCAGAGTGGGGTTGGACAGCACAAGTCGCTACATGCAGGCAGTGACTTCCTAGCACGAGAATGACCTGGTGGAAATAAAACCGAGGAGACAGGGGAGGCGAGGACGGGGTAGAGAGAGAAGGGAAAGGAGGGAGCATGAGGCAGGGTGGGGGTGGCCAGCACACATGCCGTTGCAACCAGGGCGATCGCCCTCAAGCACGAGAACGGCCTGTCAGAAGAGAGACAGGAAATAGTGCGAAGAGATAGCGAAAACACAAGGGGAGAAAGGATAAGAGAAAGGGGGGAGAAGGGAGGCGAAAGACGATGAAGAGAAGAACAGCGCGATGCAATGACAGTCAGAAGAATGGTCGAACGGCAGCTAAGCGATAGTTATGACGGAAAAGGAAGCAACGAATTGAGTTGGCAATAGTCTCTAAGCAACAACAGACTCCACAATTTTACCTGCGGGAGGTGCAGCGCAGCGGCTTGCGAAGCAGCAAGACACCCTAGCACGCGGAGGGCGAGGGCGAAGGCGGAGGCTACCTACCTTTCACTTGAGTCTACAGTGAGCTAGTAATCTCGTTTCGAAACGTCTCAAAACGAAATCACCAACACACAGAGAAGGCGAAGGCTACCTTCCTTTCACTCGAGTCTATTGTTTACCTGCGGGGGATGCAGCGCAGCGGTGCGCGCCGTAGCACGCGGAGGGCGAGCGAGAAGGTGGAGGCTACATACCTTTCACTCGAGTCTATAGTTACCTGCGGGGGATGCAGAGCAGCCGTGCGCGAAGCAGCGAGGCCCCGTAGCACGCGGAGGGTGAGCGAGAAGGCGGAGGCGAAGGCGATGGACGCCGCCGTGCCGATCAGCGGCCACAGCCATCCCGACGATGGTGATGCTGGTGATGGCGACCGCGCTGTCACGGCGGCCACAACCGCCATCTGGAGATTCCGATTCTAAACAGCCCTCAAGAATCCTCAAGAATCCTCAAGAATCCTCAAGAATCCTCAAGAATCCTCAAGAGCCCCCTCAGCAGAGTTTCTCGAACTCCAAGAATCCACAAACACGTACGACGCCGACCGCGGCGACGGTTTCTGAGATGTCTCGAAAGGCGATGATCGCGGCGCTGCAGGCTGCTGGTGGATGCGACTTAGCTAAGGAGTAGCGCGTAGACAGCAGTCGTGGACTCCGGTTAGGAGGTGCTAGTGAAAGAAAGGTGTTGTCAACACAGACCGCTTGGAGCCAAACCATCACTGAAAAAACCCTCGTTACGCAACGGATGCGTTTCAAGATAGTGTCAGGATAGAATTAACATAGAACTATTGAACTACTAGAACTACTCACACCATATCAAGCGGAATTCATACATTCCACACTAGGGATGTGGATACAATGCACAGTATGGAGATAACGTACAACTTATTATGAAATATGAAATTATGAAATATTAACGACCATCTATCATCCTTTCACCCGTCCGAGCACACAAATTCAAGAAAGCACCACAAGGCGGTCGCCTGTTCGCCACATTAGAGGTGTGTTCTTATCTTGGGGATTCAGCTGCCACTTGCCTCCGTTATTAGCACAATTATATGCTATCATCAGCTTGCGGCGACGCAGAACTCGGCTCTGTGATCCATGAAAGATGGAGGAGACCAGAGGTGACGAGACAGGAAGGCAAGCACACCAGGGAGGGCATAAGTGGGAGGAGTGCTACTGTAGCGGGTGAGTGTCGTGCGTGAATGTGCATGTGTGTGGCCGTCCACAAGAAAGGAAATGGCTTAGGGTTTAGGGTTAGAACGTTAGGTTGGAAGGTTAGGGTTGGAGTGAGAAAGAGAGTGAGCACATGAAAGTCGAAAACAAAGTGCGTCGGCATCCACAAGGAAGTGGCATCTAGGGGTTCCAGTTCGGGTTTAAAAGGTCAAAGAGTGAGTGCGAGAACGATACCTGGAGATCGAAGAAGGAGAGTGCTTCGCCGTCCACAAGGAAGGAAGTGGCATCCTCCAAGGAGAGTGACGAGCCCGACCCACTCACGATCTCGTCCAATACGCCGCCGACATCTGGCACATACAAGGGATTCCAATAAGGGATGGGGTATGGGTGATTGCTTTTGAGTTGACTCAAAACGAGCCCGACCCACACACTATCTTGTCGAAAACGCTACCGACATCTGGCGCGAGAAGGGATGGGGTTGACATGGGTTCTTGCGAATGGTACCATGGTAATGCGGCAGTGAATGTATGCACACATGAAGTATGCACACATGAAGTATGCACACATGAAGCATGCACACATGAAGCATGCAAACATGAAGCATGCACACATGAAGCATGCACACATGAAGCATGCACACATGAAGTATGCACACATGAAGCATGCACACATGAAGCATGCACACATGAAGTATGCACACATGAAGCATGCACACATGAAGCATGCACACATGAAGCATGCATGAGCACAGGGACGCAGCTGTGCAGATATGCATGTACGCATGAGCGCATATGTGTGTCGGCACTCCCACACACTCACCTGGGTCCACGGCAGTGTGAGCCAGAATGCAGGCATGCACCACGTTCGTGCCAACCAGCTCTCCTGCACCTCATCCATCACATCCCCTTCCACCACCTTACATGCGCTGTACTGGCTGCACACACCCGCTGCACTCACCCGCTGCACACAACCGTTGCACTGACTAGTACCCACCTGGGTCCATGGCAGTGTGGGCCAGAATGCGGGCATGCACCACATTGGTATCCACACTGGCATTCAGCCACCTCTCCTCTCCTGCACCTCATCTCTCGTATCCCCCTCCACCACCGCCCTAGAGACACCGCACCTGCACCACATGCTTGCAACTGACCTGGGTCCATGGCAGTGTGGGCCAGAATGCGGGCATGCACCACATTGGTATCCACACTGGCATTCAGCCACTTCTGCTGCACCTCATCCAGCATACCCCCCTCCACCACCGCCGCCGGCCGCACCCCGCTCTCACTCTCCCCATGCCCCTCCCCCTCCTCCCCTCCCTCCCCCCTCCCCTCCACCGCCGTGTCACTCTCAGCCAGCAAAGTGGCACTCGCCTGCCCTCGCTCCTTCTGAATCGTTCGGATCATCATGGCAGTCACTGAGGCGGACGGCATCAGCACCCCATCACCCCCATCACTACTACTACCGCTGCTGCTGCTGCTGCTGTAACTGTCTCCTCGGTCTGTCCCCTCGTCGTCCCGCCTCTGCTGCTGCTGCTGGTCGGGCGGAGAGGGGTGCTGGTTGCGAGGGGCGAGGACGATTACTGTGTCGAAGGCTTCTAGAGGGACCTTTTCTAGGTCTGCCATGGAGCCCAGATGGCCGTGATCTGACATGGGAATGGGGGTTGGGGGAGGGGAATTGAGTGGGGTCAGACGAGGCTGCGAGCGAGAGGCGAGGCCACGAGGACTCCATGCCATGGAGCCCAGGTGGCCGTGGTCTGGAATGGGGAGGGGGGTGGCGGAGGGAGGGGAAGGATTGGAGGACAGGGCAAGAGTGTGTGTGTGTCTGCAGCTGCTGGCCGTGCGGTCAGGGGTGCTGGGAGCGAGGGGCGAGGACTACAACGGCGTCGATTTTTGAGAATTCTAAAAAATGACTCCTCCGTGCTGGGTTTGAGGGGCAAGGACTACGAGAGCGTCGAAGGCTTCGAGACGACCTTCTCCCGGTGAGCAATTGCGCTCCTAGATGGCTGTGGTGATCTAGAAGGAGAGGATTTTTTTATGCGCATAATTAATCGTCTAGATTGCTATGGTGGTCTGGAGGGAGAGGGGGGGCGAGAGGGGGAGCGTGAGGGATTTTTGGGTGCCTACGAAACTGTCTAGATGCCTGTGGTGGTCTGGAGGGCGAGGCGGGGAAGGGGAAGGGGAAGGGGAAGGGGAAGGGGAAGGGGAAGGGGAATGGAAAGTTTTGTGGTGCGCATGCTGCTGCTGGTGATCTTGGGGTGAAGGGTTGATGATGTAGACGACCATAGGAGAATCAACAAAAATAATGACATTCTTGTAGCTTCGAGCAAGTGCAAGTGAGAGTGATACATACAAAGTGAAAGATTGAGGTTGAGCCTGCCTGGCTTCATAAACAGGTTGAGCCGCTGCTGTGCCGCAGAGAGGGGGGTTGCACTGTTGCTGGGTCACTTATGGAGGGAGGGCTTTCATCAGCTCGCCTACCTTGATGGAGGGGTTGAGGTTGAGTGCAGAGTGATACTTACAGAGGGAAAGGTTGAGGTTGAGGCCGCCTGGCTTCATGAAGGGGTTGAGCCGCTGCTGTGCTGCGGAGAGGGAAGGGGAGTCGACCATCACTGCCACCTGACTGCCTGTGCGGCCGAGAAGGGGCGGTGGATGGAGAGAGGGGAAGCAAGAGGTGGGGCAGAGATGCATGAAGGGCTTCATTCCAGGGTGCGGTAGTTGCAGTGCCGTTTAGTTTTGAGGCGCCTCAAAACTAAGCTGCATATTGGGCTTCATGATACCAGTGAGGTAGTTGCTGTGCTGCGAGGAGAGGGAAGGGGAGTCGACCATCACCACCACCACCTGACTGCCTGCTTGGAAAATGCAGGCGGGGAAGGGGAAGTCGAGGGGAGAGAAGCTGAGAGCGGTCAGCAACAGATGCAGTGTGATGAAACGCATGGGGATTCTAGTTTTGAGGCGCCTCAAAACCGACAGCCGACGCCCGACAGCCGACGACGAACAGCCGACAACCGACAGCCGACGCCCGACAGCGACGCTCGACAGCCAAAGACCGGCAGCCGACGCCCGACAGCCGACTCCCGACAGACAGCCGACGCCCGACATAGCCAACGCCCAATATATACTTCTCACTGTTACTACCCAAGCGGCTGTGATATTTGACTGGTCTTTTAATTCACGGGGAGCCAGCCTGCCACCGAGCAGCAGGAGGCTTCAGTGACTAGCTGACAACCGACAATAGAGCCGAGCCGACCACTGTCATTGGTACTAGAAACAAGAAACACCGTGCTCGTATGACAGTATTTGGACTCACTGGGAGGGGAGCCAGCCAGCTTGGCACCGAGGAGCAGGAGTAGTGAGCAGCTAACAAAGTTTCAAGTCAGCTGGAGTTAGCACTTTTAGATCAAGTCAGAGGAAGCACTCTTAGAATGCGACTCCTATTTCACTCACGGGGGGCCAGCTTGGCACCGAGCAGCAGGAGGGCCTCTGCCACGTCATCCCTCCACTCGCCCGCGATGAGCACGTTGTGGCGGCGCCGCACGTTGCCACGTGGCAGGCTGTCGTAGTGCCACGGCGTCGCAAAGGACGCCATACGCTTCTCCACCAGCTCGCGCTCCTTTGCTGACTCAGCTGTCGGCTTACGTGGCGCGTAGCTGTCTGCTGACTCAGCGATGACCAGGAGGCGGTCCCCAGGCTGATGTGGAATGGGCAAGTTAGATAAGGGAGAGGGAGAAGGATGAGGGATGGGTGGGGGAGAGGAGCGGGGGAGAGGACTGGGAGAGAGGGGTGGGGGAGAGGAGTGAGGGAGAGGGGTGGGAGAGAGGAGTGGGGGAGAGGGGTCGCCACCTCAACCACGGTGTCGCCAGGGGGTGGATCAATGTCCAATCATCGCCCATGCCTTTCTGTCCTCAGCCCCGGCCCAGACCATGCACTTATCCGATTCACTTTAGTCCCACTCACCTCAATGACAGTGTCGCCAGGGGGATTAATGAGCGTCCTCTCGTCCTCTGTGCCAACCATCTGCTGCACGCCGCACGGCACACACTCCCTTCCATCCCACTCCCTTCCATCACACTACGTCCAATCAGCACACTCACCTCAATCACAGTGTCCCCAGGGGGGTTGATGAGCGTCCTCTCGTCCTCCGTGCCAACCATCTGCTGCACGCCGCACGGCACAGCATCCTCAAACAGAAACATTGCCTCGGCAAAGGTCCGTCCCTCCAGCTCCCTCCTGCCAAGGTGCAAGAGAAGCACAGGCAGCACATGTGCCTCAATCACAATGTCGCCTGGGGGATTGATAAGGGTCCTCTCGTCCTGAGAGAGCCACGTGTGCGTGTGCATGTGTGTGCTGGGATGGGTTTGGAGGAGAGATGTCATTTGAGTCGACTCAAAGGTCCGCCCCTCCAGCTTGAGAGCCTTGTCACATGTGCGTGCGTGTGTGCGCAGGGAAGGGTTTTGAGGCGCATCAAAAGCCCCAGCTTTAGAGCCATTTGTGTGTGTGTGTGTGTGTGTGTGTGTGTGTGTGTGTGTGTGTGTGTGTGTGTGTGTGTGTGTGTGTGTGTGTGTGTGTGACGATTCTTTGAAGTGGCGGCCTGCCCCTTTGAAGCTCAGCGGCTCAGCAGCTACAGCACTTCCTGCCGGCTGTAGCGCCGGCTGTAGCGCCAGGCCCACCAGCCACCTCAGAGCCATGCGAGTGCAAGTGCATGTGGGCCCGGATGGCAGGATAGATGGGAGACTTGCCCCTCCCACTCTTACCATTCCTTAAAATGAAACTCAGCTCCCTTGAAACTTAGCATCTCAGCAGCTACAGCAGAGCCGGCCGGCTGTAGCGCCAGGTCCACCAGCCGCCGCAGAGCCATGCCGCCCGTCTCCACCGGCACCAGCTTGCGCCGCCTCACCGCCGCACGCGAGCCGGCCCTGGCTCGACTGGCCGGCGCAGCGGGGACGGCAGGAGAGCGGTTGGTGGTGGAAGGTAGTGCTGAGGCAGCTGCAGTACCGTCAGGGGTGATTGTTGAGGGGTTTATTTTGGCTGTGGTAGTAGTGGTGGCAGTGGCAGCAGTGGTGGTGGCGCTGGTAGTGGTAGTGGAGGGAGATGACGAAGAGGCGATGGCAGTAGCTGCTGAGCCGGCGTGTGTGACGATGCGAGACGGGTCTGATGATGGCGATGACCTGCGGAGGGATGTGCATTGAGCAATAAAAAGTGAGATGGCGGCAGAGGCATCTTCTGTGGCGGCAGAGGACAGAGGAGGACCAGCTGAGTGGAAGTTTTGAGGCGCCTCAAAACTGCAAGTGTCATGTTTTGCTGACCCGACGTGTGTTGCTGCTGCCTAGCTCCCTTTCTTTTGAGGGGCACGCCAGCTCTTGAGTCGACTCAAAAGTCACCTCTGCTGCCTAGCTTCCTTTCTTTTGAGGGGCACGCCAGCTCTGGAGACTCTTGAGTCACGCAGCCTCACACAGAGCACGTCAGTCAACTATCTCAAATGGACTCACCCGATGATCATGTGCTGCTGCCTCGCTTTGTCCAGCCGTTTCCTCCAGCTCGCATGCAGCTGTGCTGTCCCAGCAGCGCCGTGTTCTCAGGAGGGACGTGCTATCAACTTAACCAAGCATCTGCTGCTGCCTCGCTTTATCCAGCCGTTTCATTCATGAGGCTCACATGAGGCTCACATGAGGCTCACATGAGGCTCACATGAGGCTCACATGAGGCTCACATGAGGCTCACATGAGGCTGACATGAGGCTCACATGAGGCTCACATGAGGCGGAGCCGTTCCGGTTTGGGGAAGCCGTTTGATTCATGAGGCTCATATTCAGTCTCCCCAGCAGCATGGCGTCCTCGGCGCATGCCAGCATACCTGGGGTCTAGCTTTGAGGCGCCTCAAAACTAGACTCCCCAGCAGCATGGCGTTCTGGGCGCATGCCAGCGTACCTGGGGTCTAACACCAACCACCATATCACTCCGCCAACGCACCCGATCATGTGCTGCTGTCTGGCTCTGTCCAGCCGTTTTCATCAGGCTCGCGTCGCATGCAGTCGACCCAGCCAGCTGCATGGTGGACATGTTATCAACTCACCTGACCATATGCTGCTGCCTCGTTTTTTCCAGCCACTTCACGAGGCTCACATGCAGCTGGCCCAGAAGCATGGTGCTCTCGGAACTCACCAGCTAAGGCGTACTCGCAAGACAACTCAAACTTGGACCCATCGACTCACCTGACCATGTGCTGCTGCCTGGCTCTACCCAGCCGTTTCATGAGGCTCGCTTGCAGGTGCCCCAGCAGCATGGTGCTCTCATCTCAGGGCATGCCAGCTCAGGTGATTCTTGAGTTAAGCAGCCTGACTGACACGCAGAAGCTCACCCGATCATGTTTTGCTGTCTGGTTCCGTCCACCTCTTCATCAAGCTCGCATGCAGCTGCACCAGCAGCATGGTGCTCTCAGGAGGGGCATGCGAGCCAGCTCGGGTGATTCTTGAGTCAAGCAGGCTGACTCACACAAGCTCACCAGCTGATGTCAGTGGACTCACTCACCCGACCATGTGCTGCTGCCTGGCTCTATCCAGCCGCTTCATCAGGCTCGCGTGCAGCTGCCCCAGCAGCATGGTGTTCTCGGGGCATGCCAGCTCAGCAACCACGTCACCCTGGATTTCAGGAAGCACTGCCAGTGCCATGGCGGTTTGCAGCACCTGGTGATCGGCAGAGGGAACAGTAATGGTAAAGCATGCAATAACGGGGATGGGAATAGTGAGGGGAGGGAGAAGAGGGGAGGGAGAAGAGGGGAGGGAGAAGGGACTCGGGATGGTGGGATGCATGCACACATCACACACTGAGCAGCAAAAAGGATGCGGCAGCTGTGGCATGGGATGCTTTTGAGTCGACTCGAAAGCGGATGATTTGAAATCACACTGGGCACTGGATGCAGCAGCTGTGGCATGGGATGGCGACGTTAGGGGATACACCTAGCTTCATGTGATTTTGGCCACAAGGTGAGGTGATCAAAGTAACGGCATATGGACAGGGCGGTGGGGAGCGGAATACCCCTTTCCGCCTAAAGTCCTGCCATTTTGCCTGGACCAAAGGAGTCTCTCACCTGGGAATTGCTGTTCTCACCTGAGGGTCTGTTGTTTTCACCTGAGCATCAGCCTGGTGGCGAGAGGGCAGCTGGGGCGAGAGGATGACAATGGAGGCTGCCTGGGAGGCAGAGCAGCGGTTGAGATCCGCTGCTTTGAGGGGGTCGCCGTGGCGAGTCATGACCTGGGGAGGGGAAGGGTGGGGAGGGGCAGGAAAGGAGGGGTTGGGAACAAGGCAATGGTGATGATGGGGTCGGGAAAGCCTAGGAGGGGCAGCAGCGGTTGAGATCCGCTGCCTTGAGAGGGTCGCCGTTGTTGTAAAATATATATCTATACAACATGCATGCCTAGATTAGGAGGTGTAGTCATTATAATTATTGGGGGGTTGTTGGTTGGGTTGACCAACCCCACATTTGGGTTGGTCAAGATTGGACTTGGTCTTAGACATTTGGTTGGCACTATTCCAACCAAATGGTCCTTGGTCCTAAGAACCAACCAATCATCAAGCACCACACTTTGTGGTTGCTTGCCTTCCAAGCAACCTCTCCCATTGGTCCACCTTGTGGCCAATCGGAGAGCACCACACTTAGTGGTTGCTTGCCCTACAAGCAACCCCTCCCATTGGTCCACTTTATGGCCAATAGGAGAGCTTCCTGTCCAACTCTTCCTTGCTCCTTGTCTTGTACAATAGAGCCTCTTGGCTCCCTACTCAATTCAATCCTTTCTCCTCTAAGCTACTTCCTTCAGCCGTGGCGAGTCATGACCTGAGGAGGGGTAGGGTAGGGTAGGGTAGGGTAGGGTAGGGTAGGGTAGGGACAGGATGACGGAGATGGGGATAAGGCAATGGGGGTGAGAGAGAGGATGACAATGGAGGCTGTCCGAGAGGCGGAGCAGAGGCTGACATCTGCTGCCTTGAGAGGCGGAGCAGAGGCTGACATCTGCTGCCTTGAGAGACTGTGACAAGGGATGGGGGGGTGAGAACAAGGTAGGGGGGATGGGACGGGGGGGTGAGAACAAAGTAGGGGGGACGGGACGGGGGGGTGAGAACAAAGTAGGGGGGATGGGACGGGGGGGTGAGAACAAGGCAGGGGGGATGGGACGGGGGTAGGATCACCTATCTGCCAGCGCCACCACTGACAGCCATTCTTCAATCAACACTCATTCTCTCGCTCCCTCACCCCTTGACCCACTCCCTCACTCCCTCACTCCCTCACACCCTCACTCCCTCCCTCCCTCACTCACCCGCATCCCTCCTCTCTCTTCGACCGGCACAGCCTCCAGAAGCTCGCCGTCCATCTCCTGGGTCTCCCTGTCCGCCAGCACCACCACTGACGGCCGCTCCCCTGCCTCCACCAGCGCTCGCACCAAGGGAATGGTCTTGGGGGTCCAACCTGGGGGTGGGAGGACGGGGGAAAGGGTGAGAGGGCGGGTTTAGGAAGGGGGGAGAAGACGCAGCACCACCACTGACGGCCACTCCCCAGCCTCCACCAGTGCTCGAACCAAGGGATTGGTTTTGGGGGTCCAACCTGGGGGTAGGGGGAGTGGGGAGCCAAGGGAGGGGGTGGGTCTACACCCTATCTCCCATCCGCCAAAATCACCACTGACGGCCGCTCCCCCGCCTCTACCAGTGCTTGCACTAAGGGAATGGTTTTGGGGGTCCAACCTGGGGGAACGTGTAGAGAAGGGAGGACGGGGGGGAGAAGGTGAGAGGGCGGGTTTATGAAGGGGGGAGAAGGGCAGCATCATCACTGACGGCCGCTCCCCTGCCTCCACCAGTGCTTGCACCAAGGGAATGGTCTTGGAGGTCCAGCCTTCATAGATAGGAGGGAAAGAGGAGGGGGAGAAGCAGAGGAGGTGAAAGAGGGCTGCAGATATTCATGATAAAACAAAATAAAGCATGGTACAATATATTACATCATACAATAGAGAGCAGTACAGTTCTAGCACATCAGGCTCAAACAACAGATTACCGATGCATATATAAACACATATTTCAAATCATGGTGCGTATGCATTTGTATATTCCCTTCAACCAGCCTTTGAAAAAACACACACTCACGCACACAAACAAACAAACTCACCGCACACGAGTGTGTGGTTGCTCTCTATGACGGCCCCGTTGCCCTGCTCCAGCTGATCCACCTTGCTGGCCACCAGGTCCGTTGCCAGACCCACCAGCAACGCAAAGAAGAGCATTCCGCCAACTGATACCACTGCGCTCACCACACGTTTGGGACCAGTAGCCTGTGGTCGTTGGAGGTTGTGCGAAGGGGGGTGGGGTGTGAGGAGGGGGGGGGGGGGGGTATGAAAAAGAAGGCTGGCTAGTAGCTACCAGGTCCGTTGCCAGACCAACTTGCATCGCAAAGAACAGCATTTCGCCCACTGATACTACTGCATTCACCTGCTCTCTTTGTGCAGTGTCCACCTCATTCGCCTACTCTTTCTGAGCCGGGCTTACCTCATTCGCCTGGTCACTGTGGGGGGGCGTCCTCAGTAACCTACTCCCTTAATGCGCCCACGCCCACCTCATTCACCTGCTTTCTGTCCGCCCACCGCCCACCATCCACCGCCCACCGCCCACCGCCCACCGCCCACCGTCCACCGCCCACCGGCCACCGCCCACCGGCCACCGCCACCGGCCACCGGCCACCGGCCACCGTCCACCGCCCACCGCCCACCGCCCACCGCCCACCGCCCACCGCCCACAGCCCACAGCCCACCGCCCACCGCCCACCGCCCACCGCCCACCGCCCACCGTCCACCGCCCACCGCCCACCGTCCACCGTCCACCGCCCACCGTCCACCGCCCACCGCCCACCGCCCACCGTCCACCGCCCACCGTCCACCGTCCACCGCCCACCGCCCACCGTCCACCGCCCACCGTCCACCGTCCACCGCCCACCGCCCACCGTCCACCGCCCACCGCCCACCGCCCACCGCACACCACCCACCGGCCACCGGCCACCGGCCACCGCCCACCGCCCACCGCCCACCGTCCACCGCCCACCGCCCACCGCCACCGGCCACCGTCCACCGCCCACCGCCACCGGCCACCGTCCACCGCCCACCGCCCACCGCCCACCGCCCACCGCCCACCGTCCACCGCCCACCGCCCACCGCCCACAGCCCACAGCCCACCGCCCACCGCCCACCGCCCACCGCCCACCGCCCACCGCCCACCGCCCACCGTCCACCGCCCACCGCCCACCGTCCACCGCCCACCGTCCACCGCCCACCGCCCACCGCCCACTGCCCACCGCCCACCGCCCACCGCCCACCGTCCACCGGCCACCGTCCACCGGCCACCGGCCACCGGCCACCGGCCACCGCCCACCGCCCACCGCACACCACCCACCGGCCACCGCCCACCGCCCACCGCCCACCGGCCACCGGCCACCGTCCACCGCCCACCGTCCACCGCCCACCGCCCACCGCCCACAGCCCACCGTCCACCGCCCACCGCCCACCATCCACCGCCCACCCCCACCGCCCACCGTCCACCGTCCACCGCCCACCGTCCACCGCCCACCGCCCACCGCCCACCGTCCACCGCCCACCGTCCACCGTCCACCGCCCACCGTCCACCGCCCACCGTCCACCGTCCACCGTCCACCGCACACCGTCCACCGCCCACCCTCCACCGTCCACCGTCCACCGCCCACCGCCCACCGCCCACCGTCCACCGCCCACCGCCCACCGTCCACCGCCCACCGTCCACCGTCCACCGCCCACCGCCCACCGCCCACCGCCCACCGCCCACCGCCCACCGTCCACCGGCCACCGTCCACCGGCCACCGGCCACCGCCCACCGCCCACCGCCCACCGCCCACCGCACACCACCCACCGGCCACCGCCCACCGCCCACCGGCCACCGGCCACCGGCCACCGTCCACCGCCCACCGTCCACCGCCCACCGCCCACCGCCCACAGCCCACCGTCCACCGCCCACCGCCCACCATCCACCGCCCACCCCCCACCGCCCACCGTCCACCGTCCACCGCCCACCGTCCACCGCCCACCGCCCACCGCCCACCGTCCACCGCCCACCGTCCACCGTCCACCGCCCACCGTCCACCGCCCACCGTCCACCGTCCACCGTCCACCGCCCACCGTCCACCGCCCACCCTCCACCGTCCACCGTCCACCGCCCACCGCCCACCGCCCACCGCCCACCGCCCACCGCCCACCGCCCACCGCCACCGGCCACCGGCCACCGGCCACCGTCCACCGCCCACCGCCCACCGTCCACCGCCCACCGTCCACCGTCCACCGCCCACCGCCCACTGCCCACCGCCCACCGCCCACCGCCCACCGTCCACCGGCCACCGTCCACCGGCCACCGGCCACCGGCCACCGGCCACCGCCCACCGCCCACCGCACACCACCCACCGGCCACCGCCCACCGCCCACCGCCCACCGGCCACCGGCCACCGTCCACCGCCCACCGTCCACCGCCCACCGCCCACCGCCCACAGCCCACCGTCCACCGCCCACCGCCCACCATCCACCGCCCACCCCCCACCGCCCACCGTCCACCGTCCACCGCCCACCGTCCACCGCCCACCGCCCACCGCCCACCGTCCACCGCCCACCGTCCACCGTCCACCGCCCACCGTCCACCGCCCACCGTCCACCGTCCACCGTCCACCGCACACCGTCCACCGCCCACCCTCCACCGTCCACCGTCCACCGCCCACCGCCCACCGCCCACCGTCCACCGCCCACCGCCCACCGTCCACCGCCCACCGTCCACCGTCCACCGCCCACCGCCCACCGCCCACCGCCCACCGCCCACCGCCCACCGTCCACCGGCCACCGTCCACCGGCCACCGGCCACCGCCCACCGCCCACCGCCCACCGCCCACCGCACACCACCCACCGGCCACCGCCCACCGCCCACCGGCCACCGGCCACCGGCCACCGTCCACCGCCCACCGTCCACCGCCCACCGCCCACCGCCCACAGCCCACCGTCCACCGCCCACCGCCCACCATCCACCGCCCACCCCCCACCGCCCACCGTCCACCGTCCACCGCCCACCGTCCACCGCCCACCGCCCACCGCCCACCGTCCACCGCCCACCGTCCACCGTCCACCGCCCACCGTCCACCGCCCACCGTCCACCGTCCACCGTCCACCGCCCACCGTCCACCGCCCACCCTCCACCGTCCACCGTCCACCGCCCACCGCCCACCGCCCACCGCCCACCGCCCACCGCCCACCGCCCACCGCCACCGGCCACCGGCCACCGGCCACCGTCCACCGCCCACCGCCCACCGCCCACCGCCCACCGCCCACCGCCCACCGCCCACCGTCCACCGCCCACCGCCCACCGCCCACCGCCCACCGCCCACCGCCCACCGCCCACCGCCCACCGCCCACCGCCCACCGCCCACCGTCCACCGTCCACCGTCCACCGCCCACCGCCCACCGCCCACCGCCACCGCCCACCGCCCACCGCCCACCGCCCATCGCCCACCGCCCACCGCCCACCGTCAACCGCCCACCGCCCACCGCCCACCGCCCACCGCCCACCGCCCACCGCCCACCGTCCACCGCCCACCGCCCACCGTCCACCGCCCACCGTCCACCGTCCACCGCCCACCGCCCACCGCCCACCGCCCACCGCCCACCGTCCACCGGCCACCGTCCACCGGCCACCGGCCACCGGCCACCGCCCACCGCCCACCGCCCACCGCACACCACCCACCGGCCACCGCCCACCGGCCACCGCCCACCGGCCACCGCCCACCGTCCACCGCCCACCGTCCACCGCCCACCGCCCACCGCCCACCGCCCACCGCCCACCGTCCACCGCCCACCGCCCACCATCCACCGCCCACCACCCACCGTCCACCGCCCACCGTCCACCGCCCACCGTCCACCGCCCACCGTCCACCGCCCACCGTCCACCGCCCACCGTCCACCGTCCACCGCCCACCGTCCACCGCCCACCGCCCACCGTCCACCGTCCACCGCCCACCGCCCACCGTCCACCGCCCACCCTCCACCGCCCACCGCCCACCGCCCACCGCCCACCGCCCACCGCCCACCGCCCACCGCCCACCGCCCACCGCCCACCGCCCACCGCCCACCGCCCACCGCGCCCACCGCCCACCGCCCACCGCCCACCGCCCACCGTCCACCGCCCACCGCCCACCGCCCACAGCCCACAGCCCACCGCCCACCGCCCACCGCCCACCGCCCACCGCCCACCGCCCACCGCCCACCGTCCACCGCCCACCGCCCACCGTCCACCGCCCACCGTCCACCGTCCACCGCCCACCGCCCACCGCCCACCGCCCACCGCCCACCGTCCACCGGCCACCGTCCACCAGCCACCGCCCACCGCCCACCGCCCACCGCCCACCGCCCACCGCACACCACCCACCGGCCACCGCCCACCGCCCACCGGCCACCGGCCACCGCCCACCGTCCACCGCCCACCGCCCACCGTCCACCGCCCACCGCCCACCGCCCACCGCCCACAGCCCACCGTCCACCGCCCACCGCCCACCATCCACCGGCCACCGCCCACCGCCCACCGGCCACCGCCCACCGCCCACCGTCCACCGCCCACCGCCCACCGTCCACCGCCCACCGCCCACCGCCCACCGCCCACAGCCCACCGTCCACCGCCCACCGTCCACCGCCCACCGTCCACCGCCCACCGTCCACCGCCCACCGCCACCGCCCACCGTCCACCGCCCACCGTCCACCGCCCACCGTCCACCGCCCACCCTCCACCGCCCACCGTCCACCGCCCACCGCCCACCGCCCACCGCCCACCGCCCACCGCCCACCGCCCACCGCCCACCGCCCACCGCCCACCGCCCACCGCGCCCACCGCCCACCGCCCACCGCCCACCGCCCACCGTCCACCGCCCACCGCCCACCGCCCACCGTCCACCGTCCACCGCCCACCGTCCACCGCCCACCGCCCACCGCCCACCGTCCACCGCCCACCGTCCACCGTCCACCGCCCACCGCCCACCGTCCACCGCCCACCGTCCACCGCCCACCGTCCACCGCCCACCGTCCACCGCCCACCGCCCACCGCCCACCGCACACCACCCACCGGCCACCGGCCACCGGCCACCGCCCACCGCCCACCGCCCACCGTCCACCGCCCACCGCCCACCGCCACCGGCCACCGTCCACCGCCCACCGCCACCGGCCACCGTCCACCGCCCACCGCCCACCGCCCACCGCCCACCGCCCACCGTCCACCGCCCACCGCCCAC